ATGCAGTGATCTGTAGTTTTGAGGAGGAACAAACTGCATGAACATCACAGTTTTATTTGTAAACAGTATAAGTTAAAGTTTCCAAAGTTTTCACAATTTAGAGCCTTATTTATATAATAAACAGACTTTATTAAAAGTTGGCACATGCAATTGGCACTGAATCTCTTCCTCATACTAGTATGTAAATACACTTCTATTTTAAATACTTCACTTTATATTCAGTAGGAAACCTTCACAGCTTGGATTTACTTGTTAGTCAGCCACTTAATGACTAATTTCCTATAAACCCAGCTATCTATAGCTATGACTCAAAGAGTAGAAATTGTAGAAAAAGGACTTCTTTTCACAAAAAGAGTAACACATTTGGAACTACATTCTACATGTCTTAGTGAAATTTTCTTTTACCATGAGAAGAGTTTTCTCACAAAACAAGATAGTTGAAAAAAACTGAATAATGACAATATTGATGTTACCAGTCCTACGGATACCAGTAAGAAAGTATTAGGCCTGATAGTAATACAGTGGGAGAGAAATACTAAAATAACTGGTGCTATAAACAGCTTCTCCAACTCACAAGTAGCCTGGACAGGGTCAAAGGGATAGCATTACATGCTATATCAAATCTGGCAGGGGTAGTGGTAAAGGGCATTTGAACTGCATATGAAGAATTAGTCCATTTTTTAAATTACCTAATACAGTCAGAAACATCTTCATAGTAGGTTTCTTTGTAATACAATGAAGTGTCTTGACTATGTGAATAAAAATCTCCCCTTGGTTTACAAATTAGGGATCTTTCACTGAAATATTTTTCCCTAAAAAGTTACCTAGCATTGTTGTACAGCAGTGGATTGGGGAAGAAAGAAAACCTCTTTAAAAGGATCTATAGATGAACAGATTGCCTGCACTAGCACAGAACCTACTACCTTAATTTGGGATCTGCATAGGTGCACATCTACATGGTGCTCCTTGCAGGAGGGGCCCGCAGATATTTTCTTTGGAATAGACTTTGTATAGACTTAAAACTGTAATTTATTTTTCCTAAAATAATAGAGGATTTCATAGTCAATACAAAAATAGTTACACCAAAAAATATTTAAGCCATGTTAGGCCATAACTGTACTTCTAAGAACAATTAAAAAAGCGCTGTAGCTTGTCTTATTAAGCTACTAATGTATGCTAAACAGGCACAAAGTGGTTAGAAGAACTTAGATGACTAGAACATTTTCAGAGCATCTCACAGAAATTATTGCCTCCAAAATGTGTACTATGCCACAGTTAAAAAGGGTCAAAAACAATATAGGATAAAATAATACTTCTGTGTAAACCGAATAAAAATAATTTATTTACAGACCATGAGGAAAAACACGAAAGGCCTTTCCTTTTCAAATAAATACATGTATTAAGGGAACACATCCACTAACTAAAAAAATAACTTTGCGCGATGAAATGAATAGTTCTTATGTACTAAACAAAACCATAAAAACATTCAAAGTACAATAGTGCAACCATGTCAGACCATAAAGCTGATGTCTGCCATTTTACATTTTAGGCAGAAGGCATGGTAATCTTTCAAAGCAAAACAGAAAACTTTATATATTCATTATTTCCATGTATAAATACACACTTTAATGTCCACATTTAAATATTTTTCCAAGTTCTTTTGCTTTAACATGAATTCTACACAGTATTATGTGAATATTCAGACTTGATGGAGCTGATCATCACAGGATTTCTAAAATCAGTTTCAGTTGAGCTATAGCTACATCCCCATTTGGTAATGCTTTTTTAGTAATTTAGACATTGACCATAAAACCACTCCAAGGTAAAACTTTGTTAACAGTTTCCAACTCTGAATCTTATTTAAAAAACAACACTGTTTGAAATTAAAGTTGCTTTATATGACACGTAAAAATTACAGAGCTTAAAAAAAGAAATTCAGTTTATATAATTTAGCCAAGTAACACAGGAGAAATTTTGGTCATTAAAATAAACCAAAAAAAAGTACCCAAAATATCAATGGCCCAATTCTGCAGAGAGAGAAAAACAGGTGTGAAGGCAGGTCTCTGAACTCACATCCTTCAACCAGAGTCTCTACAGTCTTGGGACATTCACATGGCACTCTCTGTATGATAAGAATCTTATATGTAAAAGCAATTACTGCACACCACACACACTGCTAACTCTGGGATGTGGAACCTGCATTTGCAAGAGGTACCTCACGAGGTACCTCTCTCTCACCTCTTGGTGAAGAGAAGGCCAAAGGGGATCTAACAGCCTACAGATACTGAAAGGGAAGTTTCCAAGATCGCAGCCAAACTCTTCCTGGTAGCAGGAGATAACGTAATGGCAAATGGCTACAAATTTGTAGCGACTTGGGAAACTGAGGTTGGACATGAAGAGAAATTTTTATCCAGAAGGGGAATGCAAGCACGGGAGCAGGCTGCCCAGAATGGTGGTGGTATCTCTGTCCCTGGGGATCTTCACAGCCTGACTAGCCAAACCCACAGCTAATCTGATCTAGGGCTGGCAACAGTCCATCTCTGCTTGCGTGCTTCGGAGGTTGGACAAAACCACTTCCAGAAATCCTTCTTGCACACAACTTTATGTGATTCTCTGTAACCAACCAAAATGTTTTACGCATGCAGATGTGTTAACAAGGTTTGGGCAAACATATTTCAACTCCTTTACTGCAGGCCAAGACCACAGAGCTGATCCAACACTGTGGTTCAGGAGACACATATAGAACACTGAGCCTCAGTCTAAGCCCTACAAGTTAACAAAAGTTAGTAACGCTAAAGGAGCCGCATTTTGGAATCTAAGTAACAGCTTATAATCATGACATTCTCATCCTGAGAAAATGCAAATGCCTACACGTTGCAAGCTTACACGTCAGAAACCAATTGCTGGATCATGTCCCTCTCTCCTTCCTACTGCTGCAGGAAGAACTATCTGCAAGTACAGCCCACATGAATTCTGCTTGCATTTCACTCCTTTGGAGAAGGAGAAGATTTTACACACAAAAAACACAGAAAAGGCTGTCATCAATGCACTCAGTTAGGTGTGGTTTTCTCCTCAGAGAGCTAATTACAGCTGCAATTTTCTTATTTAAATAATACTGGGTTAATAGTAAACAATACATATGTGACCAGCCATATTCCTGCTACACCTGCATCTCCTTTCTCTGCCATCTGCTCCAGATAAGTCTCAGGACTACAGTGAGGCCTCTCGTACTGCTGAGCGGGAAGATGCTACAACCCTGAAGCCTCCTGCATGGAATAACGCAGTGTGTGAAGATTCCCTTAGTACTGCAAAAAGAATACAAAATGTTTTCTCTTCTAGGGCTGAAATACAATACAGTGAAATAAAATGTCTTATCCCTTCTGGCATTAGATTTCTCTGTCTTGTTAAGATAAAGCTTTCAGATAGTTACCTGAAGATTAGCTGCTCTGATCTACAGGTTTGAAAGGACACTTAAAAACAGTGCTCTTCCTACTTTAAAACTTTCTTTTTTTTTTAACAATGAACCATCCTGTTTCTAAGAACTCCACATTTTATAAAACTGGTAACACAGCACAGGCTACACAGTGTTCAAACATAGTGCTGATAAAATGCAGTAACAGCTGCTAGTCATACCGGTTTCTAATCAGTCCATAAAACTTTATCCAAGGTTGATTTACTGAGCTAGGTTTCAGCCTGGAGATGCTTTATTAATACGAGCAGAAAAGACTGAAACAGTGTGCTGGCTCTGAAGGGGCCCTATCCCATTCCAATCAAAATTAGCGAAAGCCGAGAAGAACTGGATCATGATTCTTAATTGTAGAAATACTTACAATTTTTACTACATTATAGGACTGTTGGGAACTTTTATAAGCCATAACTACTCAGTTTTTAGAGATGCTGACATCTAAAGCTACCATCCACTGGTGAGTTTCTCAGAATTTTCCTAAAATCAGGCAAAGGAATTCTCATTAAGGTAAGTGATTGCTGTTCATTTCAGCAATGTGAACAGTTTATACAGATCCTTGTGCATGTGCAGCAATTCTTTCACCTGCAGGTTTAAAACTTTAAAAATGCATAAAGAATATCCATTAAAACAGACTCCTCTGTACTATTACAGTCCCTCAATTAGTGTCTGAATGGAAGACATTTGAAAAACAAGGGAACAATTACAACCCATATCTCTCTGTAATACTAATAATGATCTAGTCTAAACAAGCAGGCAAGTATTGGATTATTAATTCACCTCAGTAATCCTACATATCACAGGTATTACAGTCTCTCTGGAATTCTGAGCTGTAATGGTCCATGCAAATGTTCCTTTCGTTTCTGAGCTGTGTAGGATCAGATGTAGAGTCTACTTCTCAGTTGTGAATCAAACCCCAACTCCCAAAATTAAACAAATTCTAACTCGCCAACTTTTGCAAAATTACCCTAGAACCCCAGGCACCTGCCATTGTGTTCTCCCAACAGAGACCATTCTGCTTCACGCCCTGAACTTAGGGTTTACCTGGATCTAGGAAACTTTTTAATCGTTTGGAATTTTCTTGGGAAATGTTTCATCAACATATAACTTAAGACTTTCAAAAAACTAGATAAGCAGACATGAGCAAAAAGAGATTAAATTAATTGAAGCGCTAGTTTTTTTCTTTTTCTGTCAGTGATATATGATACTATCATGTTCTGTATGTAAGAAATATTGTGCCGATAAAGAAACAAGCTGGTAAAGAAGATAAAATGTATTACAGTATTGTATGCAGTGACTACTGTAGCATTGATTCTGAGCTCACTTCATTGACTTATATTACTTAAGAAAAGTTAAATCAGAGCCTGTGGGGCAAAGCAAGTGCACAAATATGAATGAGTAGAAAGTAGAGTCTGGATTTTTGACATGATGTGCAATTTCTAAATGCACAAATGTATAAATCCACAATAAAAAGAATACATTATTGAAATCCTTCATTTTTTTTTTTTTTAAAATGGTCAGAAAAAGTATCTGCCACTTAAACATTGCAACAGTTTTTCATGAGTGCTGATTTTTTGACGGGTGTCCCAGCCAGGCTAGTTACTGATCTCGTATCATCTTGATTATCACTTCGTTTTCGCACTTCACTGTAAAAAAAACAACCAAACACAAAAATGCACTTAACTAATATATTTCTAATCATGTTCAGTGTTCCATTTCTCCCAGTAGATGAGCTCACCATCACCTATTGTATGGTTAAAACTACAGGTTTTAGTGCACAGAATCAACATGTCTCATAAGTTTCCAATTTTGGAAGTATATCAATATTTCTATACAAATCATAGTTAGTGACAGAAATATAATAATTTCTGATATGTGACAACTCCACAATGTTCTGATTTTGCTTTCCTTTTCTTTTGATCATTTTTATTTAATTGTTTGCTTCAGTATATTACCCTAGAAATAGAGTATGTTCGTAGGAGAAAGTATAAAACTAAATAACTTCAATTTCAAGTACAAGTTTAAACTGAGAGGAAAAACGCACATTATTGGATGTTTTATTATAAATGCAGACTTAAGTTGCATATGTATGGATGATTAGTGATCTGTATTTTTACTATGGGCCCCCTAGAATATCAAAAGCCAGCTCTAAAATCTCTTGTCTTTATATATTTATATATATATACACATATAAAAAAAAAAATTAAGTCCTCCTCACATTAGTAGAATAAATTCATGAAGTTCCTCTCAGAACACTGTATTATTTCACATAACGGTAATGAAATGTTCATTTAGAAATTTGTATTTCAAAATGAAATGTTTCTTTCAAAGAATACAAATTACTAAGACTTGAGTAAAAAACTTGCAGCCAAGCATTCCAGATCAAGGTTCTGGATAATGTCGAGACCATGTGAGGATAAATGAACCTTGTGAAGAAAAATACCGATGGTATTTTTTTGAAAAAGAGATTTCAATTGCCAAAACATTTTTTTATCCTTGAAACAGTTAAACTAAGTTATCACGTTTAAACATCAGAGGTAATTTTCCAGCTGTGATTAATGTCATATAACTGTGCTAGTATGTTCTCTGATTTCATAATCCACTGCAGCATTGATGGCCAAGTTCTTGGAAATTAGTCATTTAACAAATCAGCAATTAACTTCACATTGATACTGACAGACAAATAAATGACTACGTTCTTGCTGCAACTCTCACAGATGCATTTTCCTGGAAATATGAGTGCTCTTGAAAGTGCCCTGTGAAGACACAATGATCCTCTCTAGAAAGCTAGTATTTTTTATTTAAGCCATGTTAATTGGTAGTATTTTAATAATAAATAATCAAATACTGACCAAATGTCAAAAAGTTTGGTTATCGCATTAGGCAGCTCCAAAAATCACATGAATATGGTTTGTACTTCCAGCCTTGAGCTCCATGTATTAAACTGAAAAATCAGAGGCTGAGGATCCATGATAAACCACTAGCCCTTCAAAATTATATTGTAACCAAGAATGGTTTGGAAAGGTAGTAGAAGTGTAATGCTTGACTCACACATTATCACAGAAATACCAGGTTGCTAAATGGATACAATCAGAATTTCTAACCTTTAAATAATTTAGAGAAAAAGACATCAAACAAAATATGTGGGATTAGAATGGTCAGTAATAAAACTGAACATATAAATATATGTAAAAGAATTAAGAATTAATTATACATAGAATTATATGCATTGAAATTAATTTAAGAAAGAATTACAAAAGTAAATCCATGTACCATTAAAAAATGTAATTCATTCTCCAAACAGGTTTTAAAATTGTGAGCTCCATAACTGAGCTGTAATTTAAATATTAATTATACAGATAGCTTTGTAACATTTGCAAGCAAAAATGTTACTTGATTAAACTGAGAATAAATCCTGTCTTTCATTTATCTATGAAGATTTAACATGGTATTTTTTAAAATTTTGTTTGTTGAATTTGATGTTGGTACAATTTTAAATGTACATGTGTATATTTGTATGTATATTCACACATAATATCCTTTTTATAAAACATACTCAGATGTGTTTATTTGAAAATAGAAACATGGCTACTTACCGAGCAAGATGAAGAACTGCTTCTACAACATTAGATCCGTCTTTAGCACTTGTTTCACAGAACAGCGCATTATAAGTCTGTGAGTAAAAATAAAATGTTAAGCCAACTAATCTGAAATGGTTCCCATGTGAATATGTATATTCAATTACAAATGGTTTCCTCAATAACACAAAGAAAGATGACACACATTTAAATGAAAAGGATTTCTTCTTGTACTCTTCATTCTCCAATATATTCACTTTAGTGCTGTGAAAAAAAAACAGCAATTGCTTTTTAATTGCATCTTTTTTATATTCCTTATATTCTGAATTAACAAACTGAATAAAAAACACATCATAGGCTTAATGTCCAAACTCAATCTTCTTGTCCACAAGACTGCAAAATAGGAAGAGAGTTGCAAGGACAGGTTACTGAATCCAGCTTGTTAGCTACTCAAAGTACAGCATCTGGTATTCTAGGTTAACCAGAAATATCATTCTGTAAGTAACGGGCATGGTATCTGCCCCAGTATAATGAATTATAATCAATTATAATATAACACGTATGATATCTGCCCCAGTATAATCAATTGCACAAGCACTCAGCAACTCAAGATTCTAAAGATTCTACATTTTTTTTCTGCAAAATATGAGATAGGTGCATCCCTTATCCTCCATATAAATACATGCAAAAAACTTGTTCACACTTCTATTCATAGCAGAGAGTTCCTTTTTTCTTTCTGCAGACATGGCAGGAATACAAGACAGACTCTTGAAGACAAAAATATTCCAATCAAAAGCTGGACAGATACAAGTCAGGTAAAAAGCCTCATACGCTCACTAGTGTGCTTCGTATTTGTCCTGGCAATTTCTCTTTTAGTCTCCTAGTCCATCCACTTTGTCATCACAACTGAGAAGACTATCCCAGCCAGTAGTGAAGTTCAGCTCAGTGGACACTAAGATGGGATTTAGCCCAGCAAACACCATTAAAATAGGATTGCTTTCATGAAAAGTATCCATGAAACCTAATTACTAGTTTTGAACAAATGACCAGAAAATTACTTGTTTACTAGTTTCTCACATGGTTTTCAGATTAAAGTTCTTTTTATACGAAAGAGGTAGACTTGAAACTTACCATAGCCAGCTTTTCTCCATAGTTTATAGGCACACATTTTTGCCCTTGTTCTGTAACAGCTTGACGGAGGTCTGCCTTGTTTCCCACCATCATAATTGGAATATTCTCATGAGTTGCATCCTGTAAAGAGTATTTTATTTCCTTATTGCTAGAACATTCAGAATACAAAAAAGTAAGTAGCATCATCATGTCACACTGATTTACTTCCCACAAAGAAAAGTCTTGCGCACTGTCACAAAATATGACAAATTATGAAAGTCCTGGTAAGAACTCTTCATGAGCTAGTCAATATTTAAGCAGCCAGCTTAAACAGCCTGCAAAGATGTGCTTCCATTCCCATAAGCCCTGTTTCCCAACAAGGAATTTCACGTGTTAAGTTAATCTAATGGAAATGGTCGCTATATCCAAATGCTATATGACAAAATCACTATGGGAAAAGTGATCAACTCCTATACCATGATCACAAGAAACGGTTTTCAGAGGATGAGTTAAAGACTTTGCTTATCACTTTCCCTCCTATTAAACACCTCTGGTACATGAGAAAAACCCTTTTCATTAAATGCAAATAGACAAACAAGAAGAAATAGCAAAAAGAAATACTGAAAATTTCACTTGAACCATAGCTAATTTACAGAATCTAACATATTGGTTTAAAATGCAAAGACTCCCAGGAATACTCAAGCTATCCACAAGAGGGTATCTGAAATTGGGTCTCATACTCATTTCAGAAGGAAGTGAATGGGAAGAGTGTGATTACATGACATCATTCTATACAAAAAGATCTATCAGTTTTAACACTAAATGAATACATCAGGATATATTTAGGACTTCCGTGTAGCTTTTACTTCTATAAGAGACTGCAGTCTGGTTAATTCCAATGCACAGACATTCAAATTTTATAAATAATAAGGTTAACAATGCAGGTGAACATAGTTTACAAGTTGTATATACTTAAGGGTCTTACCTCAATCATATCCACCCATTCTCGCACATTAAGAAAGCTTTTTTCACACGTTACATCATATAGCAGTAAGACACCATCTGCTCTTCTGAAGTACGATTTAGCAATACTTCGGAATCTTTCAGAAAAAAAGGATTTACATAAGACCACATTATTAAAAAACAATTCAATTTAACATCATCAAGAACACAGCATTACTTTATTGCACTACTGAATAAGATTCTCTCCACATTACAGAATGAGTTTTCTCATAGCTTCTTTTGTAAGTAGTTCTTGAAACCTGCCGATGCAGGCTTACAAATGCTCCGTAAAGATCCACAGGATTCTGTCCTAAACAGGAATCAACATTTTTTGCATTAAAACAATCTACAGTGTATCTATTATAACTAATCTGCTTTGCACTGGACTTCTGATTAGGTGGCAAGGCTTTTTCACTTACATACAACTTCATAAATTGAGTAGGTTACTCCACTACATTGGGAAAACTATGAAACGAATAAACTTATTCTAGGAATGAATTAATCAGTTACAGTCATCTTTGCCATTAACATAACACAATCTACTTAACACCAAGTACAGCAACTAGGTATTTACATGATATATTAAAATATTCTTCACAAATTTATTATGTGGGAGGAGAATGACTGGGCCTCTGACTACCTACTTCACATAATCACTCATTCAGGCAAAAGTAAACATATACAGCCCAACACAAATCTTCACCAATGAACAGATTAAATCGACCTCTAAGGTGTTAGATTAACCTCTTAGTAAGCCCCAAAAGCTGTCAGTAAAGAAGTAATGGCTCTCAAGTAAGGATGTCATAGGATTTTTAGGATCAACCATAATTTGAATACCCTTGGAAATACATTCAGCAATCTGTTCAATTTTGCCATAAATCTTTTTAAACTCTTTGAGAAGAAGTTTTCATACACTAACTACAATGCAAATCAGAATCAGGACTTTCAAGGAAAGAAGAAGAGAGCAGGGTGAAGGGAAAGGAACCTCCCAGATAAAGGCAGCTCAGAAATACAGATCTGTAAGTATAAAGAAAGCTGAAGACTTAAAATGGAAGAAACAATGTAGATCTACTTCACCTTTTTGCATTGCAAGAGAGGGACATAGCAATTTAATTAATTAATGCTGTGGTGAACCTCAACTATTTCTGTCTACAAGAGAAAAGATTACCTCGTGCTTCACTAAAGCTAACAAATAAACATTCTACCTGTCTTGGGGTCTCAGCAGAGCAAAATCACAACTGTTTATAGATATTTACATATGGCCATACTGACTTACTATACGGCCATATAATATTTAGTGAAATTTTTTTCACCTAGATGAAAAAAGGCAAACGTTTTTTAGAAATAAAACAACTGACATTACGTAAGTGCAGTGAATCACTAACCTCTCCTGCCCAGCTGTGTCCCACAGTTGTAGCACTGTAGGTTCTCCATCAACAATTAGCCTTTTCATTTGAAAATCCACACCTGAAAAGAATAATGTGTATAGTCTAATATAAAACTTCTATAACCTTAAAAAACCCACAGAAAAAGAAGTTATGTGCCATAGAGTTACTTCAAAATTCATCTCTTTTAATAGATTATGAGATTTCAGTCGTTCATATAGCCTTGAACTGCAATAATCCCTGAACATATTTTATTTGCCTTTAGAAAAACATTTAAAGAAATATTTTTCCCACACATTTTCCTAGAAGCATTGATACAAATTTGGCATTATGACCAGCAAACAAGAAGACCCCTCTCTGCTTTATTTTGCCAAACAGTTTTATGGAAGAAGAGAAAATGTTTTATAAAACAGACTTTATTTCAAATGCCAAGGAGGAAAAGGATAAATTATATCAAAAATCCTGACTCAGAGGCAATACAGCAAATATAACTATGATTTGATTGGAAGACAAAAATTCAGTCTTTGGCATCAGTAAGACAAGCTTGTTAGCTGACAGCTATAATGTTATATACAAGTCAGTCAGAAATCCCTCCAGCTGCATTTAAACCAAAGCTTCAATAACACTTTGAAGAAATGGAGACAAAAAATAGTACGAAAGACATCAAAGATAGTATGAAATACTAAGGAAAGAGGAAAGAGCTGAGAAGACAAGAAAGCAATGAAAAATGCGAAAAGGATCGTACACGCATTCTAAGTTCATTACACTGAAATTCTGTTTTCTGGTACTCGTGTTGTTCAAGAACAGGCTTTGTGCTTTGCGAAGAGAAACTAAATTAGAGCAGTAACCTATTATCCACTCCAAACAGCACTTAGGCACTTCTAAGCTTTAGTACCCAATTAGATCTCACAGCCTAAGAAACTGCGTGTGTATACTCAGGAAACCCCGGCAAGCAGTCAGAGTGTAATCTTTTCACCCACTTCTGCAGAACAGCAATGACATTCACTTTAGTACTTTAAGAAAAAGAACAACTCTACCCAGGGTTGCACTGGTATTGCCTCGAAATTCATTCTTGCAAAGTCTCGTAAGGAAACTGGATTTTCCCACTGCTGCATCTCCAGCAAGAACAATCTTGTAAGCCTTCTCTGAACTGGGGTATTTCGGAGTACATTCGGTTGCGTCTGACTAAAAATAAAAAGAACCCTTCTGTTTCAACTAACATAAAAAATATTCTCTATATTAAACACTTTTTTTTTTTCCTTAAGAACTGGTTACCTGTGGGGTGAGAGCAGATATGTGTTTCCTTGTTGAAGCAACTGAGCTGCTTCGACTTACTGGTCGTGAGGGCTTCCAGTCTAATACTGTACTGCTGTTATCAGGACTGCATGCTTCTTCATCCCTGATCTCTGGAACCTAGAAGTATAAGCTAGTGTGTTAGCTCTGGTGAGAAAAGTATGCTTTTAAGACTGATTACAACATTTGTTTTAACAGTTTGGGTTAAACACAATAAATGACCTGATAGAGCTGTGCAATTCTAGTCAAAATACCATGATTATTCTGTTCTTATTCACGTTTGCTGCTTACTATAGCCTACATTTGGTCCTTAAACGTGTTTGCTGTTTGGTACGCATGCTTTCAGTACAGTTTCCAAATAAAGCAAATTATCCATATGGAAAATTTCAGCTTAAAAAATAATTACAATAAACAAATTTCAAATCTTATTTTACAAAAGATAAGAATTTGCCTACAAGACATTACTCTCTATATTGTTACTACTCAAGCTAAATTATATACAGCACAGCTGTAATCAGAACTATTCATAGCATTTTCAACTGCAAAGAGAGACTAAATGTCTCTACTAAATGCACAGTAAAGGATCTGTTCTGAAAAAACCCCTATGTTCTGCTGTGTTCACTATGTAGTCACCGGTAAAGCTCTCCATTTTACTAACAATAAAATGGACACAGTAACACCTTCCTACATTTCTAAATTCTCTGATATTTACTGTGTAGGTCAGTGTATGCATGAACAGTATTCTTTTTTCTCATATATGTGATTTTTTTCATTCACTGTTACAGCATAGTAAGAGAAAGTGAATGGAAACCTATTTTACTTCAATAGCATCTGCTTTTCAATCATTAGAAAATGGGCTCCTGTCTGCATGCTCTGGTACAACCTTCAAAAACAACGTGCACTTCAAAAATGAAGTTATGACCTCAAAAATCCATCAAAAATGTCAAAACAAACATTTATTTTAAAGAGGAGTAAGTATTTATGCATTCTCCAAAATACTGTCGTTAATCTTATTTAAATGCGTACAGCCCAAACACTTAAGTTTTAACTGGCCTATGGGTAAAGTTCCATTTTATTTTAAAAACAGGAAATTAATTTTGCCTCCATCCAAAGGTCTTTCTCAGAGAAGAAGTAAGTCTGGCACTTACATCTGTATCAGAAGCATCACCGCCAAAGCTTTCTTGCATACACTGTGACCTTTGAAAAATCCTTTGATGCCTGTATTCCACTTCTGAATCATACTCATTTGAATCTCTCAGAGTAGACAAACCACTGTCAAAACAGCTCTCAGGTAAGCTGTCAACTTCACAGTTTATCCTTTGCATAGGATCACAAAGGGCTAAAGAATCATAATCTTCATCCACACAAGAAGAATGAGATGATCTAATAAGAAAATATTGGAGGTGAAAAAAAATTATTCCACAACTGTTTTCCCCAACAAAATCCAAGCCATTCTGGAATAGTCAATACTTAGAAAAGCTAACTATACATTTTAAGACATATGTCAATGTCTATTTTTCCTTTCTAAATAATTTCTTTTTCAATCATATCTCTTAGAATACGCAGATTAAATTATATAATCTACTCTATTGATGATGACTTCCTGAGTCTCAGTAAGAATGTCTATTTATTCACATACAGAAAAAATAATTGTTTAAAAAAGATTCAGAATATGACTACTATGATGACATCAAAAGCAGAAAATGATAGCTGACCGTTTAGTTAATCTTGGACTATTCTAAGACACACAAAATAACCTTGAAATACTGTACCTAATTTAAATGAATGTATTTGTTACAGAGGCACACAGGCCAGTAACAGCTATAAATACAGAAAAGAGGGTAACTGAGTTCAGGAGATCAGTAATGGTGGAAGAAGTCATGGACATGTGTTTTCTTACAGGCTACACAAAACTTCAGATTTTACACCAAAGTCTCTTCTTTCCCCTCACCCTTCCTTCAAAAGCCTTTTTTTTTTTTTTCCCCATTCAGGACACTGCAATGTATAAAATTACTTAAATGGATGCAGCAATGACAGTACAGCTTACAGAAAAAAAAATTAGTTTTTATTTATGTAAATGAAACTACAGAAAAGAAAGATTACTAGAGTGAATTTTAAAAGCATCAATCTTTTAAAAAAGTTTACTACGGCTACAGTCGTCCTCCTCCTGCAACGAGGCAGGGACAGGCACAAATTAAAGTGAGGCAGAAAAGGTCTCCAAGTCACAACGGAGAAGAGAGAACCAGTTTGGCTCTGTCCTGTTGGGAATGGATGTGAAGCACTAAATTGCTAGAACAGACAAGGTCAGCATTAATCCTTGTAAAGGTAGTTTGCTGACAGAGGGGCTGGGAGCTCCCAGTGCAATGGCACACCACAGAAGAGTAAATGGGGAGAATCACCAAATTACGCAGCTGTTACTGAGTCAAATACAATTCCTCCCTACAAGCGGCCAAACAGCAGTGACAGAGGCATCATTGTCCCATGCAACAACAACCAAAACTATCTCATTTACATCCTTTCAGGCTAATGAATAATCATATGAATGAGCATGATCTTTGCTGTGGAATATCACAGCATCCACGCTGTTTGTATTCATGCACCTACTAACCTAAACCAAAACACTGGAAGACAGAGGAAGGGTGCATGCTGTAACAAAATTAAGCTTGTCAGGTATTTCCCGAAATAAAGGTCTTTAGCAGTCTATTTTCAACCTCACTGAAGCACGAATTCAATGCTGGGAATTCCATATGTGCTTAAAGCAAGTTTGACCAAGATATATGACAGCTAAAAAAAGAAAAAATATACCTACTGATGTAAATCGCTTAAAACATGTTAGAAGGCGAATCAGTATCTTGAGACAAAGTACGGAAAATGAACGGGTTTTGGGACATTCATATCTCTTTCTACTACTAACTCACACGTGTTAAGAGTAAGTTTTATTCCTACCACATAAACTTTCTTCTAAAGTAGCTTGCATTTCTCACTTTTGCAGGAAAAGGATTGCACCATGTGGCAGGTACTAATAAATATTCACAGAGAAGAACATCACTAAGCCTCCAGAGAAGTTTTAGTTACCCCTTCAGAAAATTACTCAAAGTAATATGGAACTCTCAAAATCTGCAGAGGGTCTGACAGAGAGGAATTGGTTTTATCTGCATTCAGCAGAAGGGATCAGTTTGTGACAAGCAAAACTTTAGAGCAAACACATCTCACATAGAGACAGCAGAGTAAGAGTAACACTATTGAATGAATGGGGATATTATCAATGTGAAGCAGAAGCCAACTTAATCCTTACAAAAGATATTCATCTCTTTGGCAAAATGTAAAACACAGACTACTAACAACTGTAACGGAGATCTCTCTAGAGTTTGAAGTACCACTGAAAGAAAAATAAGACAAAACAATCTATCAGTTGAGTAAGGACACATGTTTTTGCTGGCAGTTCCAGCTGTTTAAAAAAAAAAGTGTGAAAATATAGCATGATCTACAGCAACTGAGGTTGGATCCAATGGCCAGTGACTTCAGTGAGAGCCTCTGCAATGATATGAGGAAGCTCTGATCAATGACCTGTATCCAGTAAGTACAAAACCAAAGGAGCTCTGACCATTTGACATTTGCACTTAGATAATTTACTGTTCTCTATTGTTCTTACCCCATTAATATCCAAGTGCATTCATTAGTCTGCATGTCAGTGTGAGATGAGGACGTTTATTCTTTTGAAGAATTAGGTTCACATACCTCTGTAATAATTATTATATAGGAAAATCAGACATAGAGGCTGAAGATATGACCAAAAATATTTTATTCCCTAAGTACTGAGTGAGCTAGCTAACAGAGGTCTTTGGTAGATTTTTATAGTTTCTTGGAGACAAGGAGGGAAGATTGAGAATCAAACTAGAAGCAAAACAGTCCAAGACCTGAACAGTGCCCATAAGTTCATGATTTGCACTGAAAAGAGTTTTCCCGATCTTTGTGAAGTCACTGAAAAGATTCTTATTGACTTTAGTATATTTTGGATCATACGCTATGATCACACATTCCTTCTGAATCTCTCTGTTACCTGACAATATTTGCTCTTCTAAGACAAGTGTGACACTCTAGTCTTTTTAAACTTAACAAAAGCAATCATGGCTTACCTGTCATGCCGTGGGTTTAGAGGAGACTGTCCACCATTAAATTTAGGACTGCTTCTAGAAATGGTACTTCCTGGTGAGGTGTTTGCTAACCGCTGCGAGAAATGCGTAACAAATGCATAATAAGTTTTATGAACACAGTGTAAGCATCCAGATTTGTCATGAAAAAAGCGTGCATCATCAAAATTATTACTGTGTATTTTCATATATATTCAACTACTTGTTTTTAATTAAACCTCATGCTTTATTTAGGATTGGATGTCAAAAGGCCCATTACATATAGCATGTAGGCTTCACTGTTGCCTTAATACTGAACCTGCTATACATACTCAACCACAAAAGAGAAGGGAAATTCCAAGAGGATGATTTCATTGACTACACTTGGAGACTTTGAAATGAAAAATAATATTTAGAAAAATGGCATGTTGATTACTAAAGTGAAAAGGGAAATATCACTAGCTGAGATAGTTTCAGCAGAGATAACTCCTGGTTCTTGAGTGAGATAGTGAAGAGGAGAGATCTCAACTCCTAGCACATGAGAGAGTATTTCATATGTTCTGCTGTCCCTCTACATGCTTATTCACTGGGAAGGATTTCCTCTGTCTTCTCTGTAATCTGTCTCCCTTATGTTTCAGGACATGGCAGAGGGAAACGGTATCTCCTGTTGCATTTGCAGTGAATCCCTGGTAGCCTGTATCAGCAAAAGGCACTCATGTTCATTGGTATGGTAAGCAAGAAACAGGCAACGACCCCTATTTTCCTCCTTCCTGGCCAGTATTGTCTCTGTGAGCCCATTATTCTGGTTCTATCCTTCTAAAACAGTTAATTGTCCCGCTGATGTAAGAGTTTGCCCAATCATTAGTTTTGGAGTTTAATAGGTTTCCCAATATTGCAAAATGGCAGAGTAGATTTTTTGTAACTTTCAGGCTTTCTTTTCTCTGGTACGGAGGATGCCAGGTTACATCTGTTACAACAGATCCCCGTAGAGTTGTGATAGCCCAAAAGCATCCGACTGAGGTCCCTATTATCAGCAGTCCCTGCTATTCATTTTCCCAGTGACTTGCCTGGACAAAAGTTCAAATGAGGTTAAGACTTTGCTACTAAAACAAAGCAATTTTCTGAAAAGTGTGGGTTTGGTTGTAGGGCACTCCCATAGACACAATACAAACACACTCCCTTTAGTGCAAGAGAAACTGCTGATTTATTCACCTCATCAGATGCATTTAACCACAACGTATTAAAAAAATCACTACTTTCCAAAGCACCTCAGAAAGAAGTTGTGCTCTAACAAAACTCCGTTATTTCAAGAAACATAAGTAAAATCTGTCAAAATTCCACTACACAAGTGTATTCCCAAAGTGAGTCCACTGAATAAAACTCAATTTTCTGAGTACCCACTGAAGTACAAACAAATTTACATTTGGTGTGTTAATTCTTAAACCTTCTAGTACAACATAACAAAATTATAAATACATACCAATGATCTGTTGTACCTGCTGAAACTGTTTTCAAGTGCGCTTCTTAAACCATCATTGCTGTCATGCAGCTTTCTATTAGCTGATCTAACAAGGAAACATAGTTCAATTTGCAGGAGTAGACTGAAGAAAATATTAAAAATCTTAAAATTAAAAATTCTTATCACTAAGAAAAATTGAACAAATACATATCAAAAAACCCTTTTGTTTTTCTTTAGATAAACACTAAAGAGTAATGTGGAACTAGAAATGTGTTGTTGCATACTCAAACAAATGATTGTATATGAAAAAAACCTGAAGTTTAGCCTCCAGCAGCAGCCTAGGAAATCCTGTTTCACTTCTGTAGCATCGTCTGTGGTCAGCTGAGGTGAAAAACGGCACTGTAGAAATGGCCACAAAAAAACAGCTACAGTGCAGTAAACTGATACAGCCATTTCTGAAACACAAAGTGACTAATCTTTGACTGTTACTGAGGTGACTCTAAGGACAGATGCGATTTAGCTGCTTAAAAGAAAGGGTATGTTTAAGATAAATTAACTAAAGATATAAAAAACCTGTTTATTGTGACCCCCTTTGAAAGCAAAAATCTGTGTGTCCCTTGTATAATACTGTACACATATATTACTTTCCAGATGACAAGAAGACAGGGAGTTATTGGAGAAGCAAAGTCAATAAAAAAAGGAGCCAAATAATAATTTTTACAATAGCTTGGATAGACTCAAATCTCATTCAGCTTATCATAAAGAAACGAAAGTCAGTGAGGCTAAGAAAAGAAAGAAAAAACAATGAAGAGGTAGTGGCTCAGTAACACAGTAGAGTTAGTAGCACAGCACCTTGTATGAGAATTGAGGTTATTTCAGTATTTCTACTAGGTATTTTTTTCCAAATCTCATCCCAGTCTTTTGCATACAAAATCATTTACTACCGAATATGTTGGGACAAAGTTTGTTAATAAAATCCTGAATTACTAAGAACTTACTGAAGTATTTCAATCTGTCTTTCCAGATTATCTCTGTCTTCAGTATACTCTCGGATCATTTCTAGGTCTCTGCAAAAAAAGCCCAAGAAGTTATACTTTACAGGATATCTTTTTTCATTTTTATAATATTGCTTTTGGCAGTGGACAAAACTCAGAGGTCAACATTTATAAGAGGTGATAAATATACAGTGGGAAAAAGATATCATGTCAAAATATTTCTATGCTTACATTTCTGTTGAAATATGTTAAAAGCAGTTTTACGCAAAGTAAAATGACTTGGTAATTTCGTTGATCTCTGCCATTATAACCCAACAAAGACTGTGAATGAAAAATAAAAGATCTACAAAATAACCATATGGACTGCTTTATTTCCTCTTGAAATATCATTTGTGTTATCTGAAGATAATCACATTACGAAATTGTCATTTACACTCCTTTAAATTAATATCTAGAAGTAGCTTCCATTCAGTTTAGAAAAAAACTGGTTGAGACTGATGTGGCAGGCTTCCGAAACTTTTCTCCCTGATATTTATACAGATATTCATGTAAGTGCAAGTCATGGAGGAGAAAAGTGCCAGATGCTGTAAGTTTTACTCCTAACTAAAGTCCCAGTAAAATCAATTGCCTTCTTTGCAAGATTATGAGAGTTCGCACCATATCCAGAACTTGCTCTTTCAGAAACCTGACAAGAAAAGCAAACAGTAGTCATGGCATATTTTGCGTGGTGTCAAATGTCTATCTGTCATTTATGGTAAATTTAGAAAATAACAGTTACCAACTGCATACATAATAAGTACATCAGACAACAGATTTTTTTTCCCCTGGTGAAAATATTATCATGTAGAAGTACCTTACCTCTCAGTGTTCAAAGTCTGATCTGCATACTCGCTTTTCAAGCTATCTAATTCACTCTGTAGAAAAGCTATATTTGTCTGTGCTTCTAAAAGATCTTTCTTAAGTTTCTGATTTTCCTTAAAAAAAAAGGAAGATATTACATGTTAGCTTTCATAGTCATCTGCATAAAATGTCATCATATTATAATGGTAAAATAAGAACCATAAATAAATAAAAATGAAACACTAGAAAATCTGTGCACAGAAAGGGAAAGAAAATGAAAGAACTCTAAATCAACAGAGAAGTCAGCAAATTCATCAAGAACCACTGAATTTTTGCTTTTCCATTTCAGATACACAAAAGGGGACTATATTATCTCAAGTCATTTCTAAATGTTATACCTAGAATGTGTATGCTTTTATACAGAACAGGGTTTTTTTCCAAGTTAAAGATCCTCATACACTTATCAACAACTTTAAAAGTTTATTTTGTAGCTTACCAGTACTAAATGTAAAAAAAAAAAAATAAAATTTAAAAATCTGTATTATAGATGCTAAAGCTGAGGCTAAATTAATATGTTAATGATAATCATCTCTTACCAGCAACATATCATGTATTCTTTTTTTCAATTCAACCACATCTTCCCTGTGATTTACGTTTTTGGATTGCTCCTCCAGCTAAAAGGATAAAAAATTAATGTATGTTATTGATTGTTCTGATTGAAAGTACATAAAAAGTAATGAAAATCGTATTAAATAATCCCTAAAATGTTTTACAGGCACTAAAGTTTCTAAAATCCAGAGTTTTCCCAACTGTGTGAGTAGGCAGCATTACTCCAAAAATCACTGGCTTTCTATACAATTTTTTAAATCAATACTTAAAAAATATTTAATGAGCATTTTGCACTCTGTAGTTATGGAATATGCCTAACCAGTGACTCAGAAGCCAGCTACTGAGAAGATATAAACAGGTATATGCCCACTAATGTGAAAAGAAAAAATTAAATACTACCTTATCTGTGTAATATTTGTACTACAAGCTCTCATGTTTCTTGTAAGAAATTTTGATTTCTATCAATGTTCTTTTAAGTGCAATTTAATATGAAGAAACAAAAACATATCCTCATTGGTCACTATAATTCTGGTAAAACTTAGAGCAAAAACTAATGTCAGAATTAAACCCAAATTACAAAATAACCCAAACTAACATTCCTATCTGAGATTTCAGTTTACCCTACACTTAGGTATCATATGAAAAGATCAGGTTGGATTTAGTTTCAGAACAGTACTAACTAGTTCCACTAGTAATGTCAGTTTCACATTACAGCTTAAACCCACCTCTACCATCAAAATTTGAGAAAAATGCACTAGCTGCTAAAAGGCGCTACATTACTGTAAATTGCTATATTTGTGTTGCCAATTTCATCTAAATGTATAAATTAAACATACTTAGAGGCAATATATTAGACTATTTCTAATGCATCAAATACAAGATTAGGTAACTGCAGTGTTAACAACTTGATGGGCCTAGAAAATTATGCAGCAACAGAATTTGGCTAGCAGTTGGTCACTTTCCTAAATATTTCAGTAAATTACACAGAATGAACACAACAGCACAGAATGGCAACACAACCTGAAAAACTATTTGCAGTTTCCATTTACTAATATACATTAAATTAAAAAGTTACAATTATGATTAACCATCCTGGGGACAGCACTTTATAAGGTCAGCATCTCTTTAAACGCTTTGAAAACTCTTGCCATGACTTCAACTCACTTACTTTTTTAAGTTTTTTTATTGTCACCTGAAGATCCCCAACTTCAGTATCATACTGGCGCTTCAGCTCATTTAGTGCTTCTTCAGCTTTTCGCTTCTCCTGCAATATTTTTACTCTCGTTAAAAGCTGAGATAGGTTTCGGATATTTATTTAAAAATGCATTCATCAGTTTGAACGCTTTCCCCTTAGATTAATGTGTGTAGTTTTGTCTTTCCATTACATCAACCGGTCCCTTCCTCAAGATGCACAGACTCTATTCTGTAGTTGCAGTCCACTTACAAAATATTCATAGAAATAAAATAGTAAGGTGGAAGCAAAGACACAGGTCAATTCAGTGTTTGTTATTCATGTCAGTCTCCTGTGCTTAACATTCTTGATGTCTTAAAAAAAATAAAAGAGAAATGTTCGAATTTTAGTTCTACATAAATTTAGGTGTGTATTGCATATACAGATGTATACATACACACCTGCACATAAATCAGGGCATTACATCCTTTTTTTTCAAACCAGCCTTCTATGGCTCGGCATACAATGTGCTGGTAAAAGCATTACTGTGCCACTATCAGTTATTTATTTATTTCCATTTTTCTTTTAATTTTTTTTGCTTGCAAGTGTTGGAATGTAACAGGCCTATGTTCAGTAAAAAGTATGCTGATGACAGCGTCTTTAGTTTCCTGTGGTAGTTGGTTTGAATATCAAACCAAGTATATTATTCTGAGTTTTATTTTAATCAAAATAGAGAGATTTTGAAAGAAAGTTACATCAAGCACAATGGTATGAGAAGAATGTTATGTTCCGCATGCTGTAGACGAGTATGTGTTTAATTCACTCCAGTCACTCCCCAGGGACTTCATGCACAGTTTCATAACACAAGAAACCAGAATGCAGCAGTCATATATGGTGCCAATGCGGCAGGTTGAGTTTTCACACGGAAAAGACAGACACTCACTTTGCTCAGAATTCAGTGCGTTCCTGTAGTTGCTGACATCCGTGTGTTAAATGATAATCCCTGGGTTAAAACGATAATTGAAGTAAACACCTTAAGATGGATTCTCTTACTGTTGGCACCTATATAGGACTCTTAAGTACTGTTTGGTAACTATTTGCTTCCCTTGAAGAAACAAAATACAAGATAGGCTCAACCGGCAGATAATATCATGCAGGTGTCACAGTGGCATGAGTGAGATCACTCTGACGAACAATAGCCTTGAGTACAAGCATTAAGATTAATGGCTTAGTACAATCCCACAAAGTAAATATCTTACATTTACTCTCAGGGCGTTTTAGTAGGTGGAGTACGTGGAGCTACCGAGCTAAAGGGAACATTTAGGGGTGAAAATGAAGAGTGCTGTGAGAAACAAGTTACAGCCCGTCTTTCAAATCTATAGCTAGGTGTGAACAGTGAAACTGCAATCCATGCAACTCGGTGACAATTTGAGGACTTTTCAGAATGAGAAACACAGACTAGATGTGGATAACACATAGCAGATGTGTTTTTACGTAATGCTAGTACATGACTGTGGATGTTCTCAGAGTGAGCAAATACACACATCCCAGTCTTCTTTTTACAGCAGCAAAAAAGAGGGTCCAGGGCTTTTTTCAGTGATTTACCACTTTTTGCAGAACAGAAATTTTCCAGAGCAAATATATTTGCTTTCTAAACATAATGCTTAGTCTCTCTGGAAATTGAAAGTTTACCGAAAGTCACATTATCATTAGTTAAACATATTATGATACCTTTTTTTTTTTTTTTGCTGGGATGATATCTTTAACATTTTTATGTCATTATATTTTACTTCTAGAAAAACAACTGACTTCTATGGTTTGGCAGGAGTGTTTCCTCTTGTATACAAAAATATGCTGTTTGAAGTAAATCTATCAGAATACCATTTACCTTCACAGATCTATTACCACAAACTGTTTAAAATCAGCAAGTTGGCAGACTGCACTTTGTTGCTTCTGATTCTGCAAATGCTTTGGTGAAAGAACCCATACCAAACAGACAGATATTCAGTATATTGTGTGTCCTACAAAGCAATAAATTATGCCCATAGTATATGTTTTAATTAATGCATTTCTTGTCTCCACATTAGAACACTTTCACAAACTATTATTCTTATGCACTTTATAAAGTTAGGTTTATCTTACTGAATTTAGTAACAGGTCAACATGAAATAAACAACACAGGTAGGGTGGTTTTACTGTACTGCTTTCTGCTTAGAATTACACAGCCACATGTGGCTCTAATGTATTTTTCATTGGGTACAAGGAAGAAGATTCTTGTACTCTTCCATCAAGACTGCAAGCGGGTTGAAACAACAGCTAAAACTTGAGCACATTGAAACAGAATTTGCCATCAACTTTGGGAGGTCCAGACCGTCACACACTGTCAGCACAATTACCCTCTCCTATGTCTGTAACTCTCTTAAATACAGCTGCAGGATGAGAATGGCAGAAAGAAAGATCAGTGCTCCAGGCAGATATACAAATCAGGAACAAATGATCTAAGCATTCATTTCTAGATAAATTCATCTACTAGAAGAACTATATTCCATTCTTTTATGGTGAAAGGTCATTTTCTCCAATCTGTTTCCTATACTGGTCTCAGTAATAAATTCCTCTAGGCCAGCATATTCTCCTAAAAGAGAAAGACATTTTTTCTTGGTTTATTACATCGGAGCAATCATACCTCTTTGGGAAAGCATCAAGAGAATACATTTTCAATCTCATGGATAGCTTTTTTTTGTGATAAATAATATTGTAGTTTTGCTTAAGTCATAGTAGACAGGCGGTCAGAAATAAGTTTCCAGGTACCCAAGTATGAGGACGGAGACAGGGTAATGTGTATTCGGGTATAGGGTTAACTTGCTTTGGTTGACACCACTTATCTTAGCCATGATCAGCCTCTACCTGGATGTCACCTTCCTGCCCTTATATGGAAGAAAGAGAGGATTAACTGCCAACTTGGGTTTGCAGTGTAGCTGAAACAACAGAGCACAGGCACCGGAATAAGTTCAACCGAGAGGAAGACTTTGAGCCTTCACCCCACGACCCCCAAAGAAGACCCCTAGAGAACAGTGCACAGACACAAGTGGGAGGGTATAGATGTAAATAACGTCGGGGAAATCATTTAAATATGTATAAGACTTCTGGGAAATGACATGAATATGAATGACTGTCCTAAATAAATTTGTGGAAGTGAGACCAACCAGTGTGCATGCAGGAGGACCACGGAGGTGATCTCCCGTGCACCCAGCACTGAAACAAAATTTTGCTTCACAGACTTTGTCCTCTCTTAAAAACTACATAGGTGAATGTTTCTCACATTTTCATCCAGGCCCTGACTTTGGAGGCTTTGAGTCAGCCCATCAGAATCAAAAACACACCTGGCCATCAATGCTGCTTAAGACCACTGAGAGTTTGGCAATTATGAAATTCTGTAAATGTAAAATACTCACTTCCTTTTTAACTTTATGCTCTGCAGCCTGTATCCGTTGTTCCATCTCTTCCTCCAGCTCACTGAGCTGAACTGCTGCTTTATCCTGAGCTCTACAATTTAAAAGTAAATACTCTCTTAGCAATTGCCGTCTGGCTAGACAGAAACATTGTGTGAAACACATCTGCCTACCTCAGCTGAAACAAATTAGACAGACAGACACGGGAACAGTTTAACATTGCCCAGACCTTGAAACTGGTATGGTTGGGAACCAAAATCACAAACTAATTTCAAGATACAGGCAGATTTTAAATAATAGCTGACAGCTGATGGTTAGTATGAAATACATCGCATCTGCATTTTGAAAATTAAATTACAGAAATAAAAAGCCCCTCTGGTTATCCTATGAAGAGACTTCAAAAAGATAACTACAGCAACTTGCATCATGCATATATACAAGACCACTGTCCTGAGCTAATCTGTTTGCTTTTGGTAGTAACGATGTGAGATTGCACATGTGGAGTAGTTAAAATAGGTAAATACACCTCTTCAAGCTGAAGAAGAAAAAATATTGTTTCTAAAATGAAAGTATAATGGGTGTATATGCTAAAACTCAAAGATATAGCCAAGGAAAAGGAGTCAAAAATGTTGTAAGACATTAAACATAAGAACAGAGCCTGCAAAAATTTTGTCCAGGACTTACCAAAAATATAAACAGGGACTCATTTGCAAGCTGCTATATGTGCTTATGCACATCTGTTTGTACAAAGCAACCTTTGAAGTCAGTTTATGGAAATACTCCACATGACATATTTTGCCATTAGCTCTCAGTAGTTTAACCCAACAAAGTGTGATAGAGAAAAAAGTATCTGCATAACTGAACTAGAAACACAACCCACTATACCTTTTTACCGCGATGGCCAAAGTTTCCATCTCTGTGCTCTGAAGTTTGATCTCTCGGATGAAGTTCCTAATGACATGTTCATAAGGCTGGATTAACCTTGGTTCCGCTATGTGTATGTTCTGATACAGAACACTGACCTGCTCTTGTCTGAAAAAGAGAGATACCATTTTAATGCACTTACTTGGAACAACGTTCTATAACAGGTTTGAAAAATGTATTACAAACAAAGATATTCCCTTTTTGCATCTTTTTAAAATTTAGCAAGTTAGATATGGACTTTGAACATTCAGCATAGTATGTCTGAATTCTTCTAAATGATGTTTACTCTTTCTGCTTCTCTACTTTAATATAGTTACTGTAGAAAAAACTTTTTAGCTTAAGTAAAATTTTGTACTTCTTATTGATGGTATATTCAAGAGCATGCCACTAGAGTAACATGTATAGAACAGTATAAGCACCAAAACATTACACAGGCCACTACACAAAAAGCACTGATTTCTGGTCATAACACTAGTAACTCCATGTAACCTTTTGCATTACATACCAGCTAGGTTCCAATATCTGAATTACCATAAGGCAATATACCAGAGAAAATTCTATAACAGAATTTAGCAGTCCCAACGAAAACTGAACCTCATTGACACATAGACTCTATGCCCGAACATGAACATGTATTCAAGAACTTAAAAATTAAACAGAAGAAAAAAGGAAAAGGGACAATCAGATCTAAAAAAGTGGAAGAAACAGGACAGTAATAAGGAAATACAGCATATCAGTGGCAGAAATGCAAACAAAAATAATGTTTTGCAAGTTCTAGTCTAACACCATATCTAACATATCACGAATACATGACCTCTTTTTGTTGTTAAAGGAAAGCTTAAACTCTGATTTAATGATCCTCCTCATTAGCTGATGTTTTCCTATCTTCCATGGAGGCAGTGCTATTTAATACCTTCACTATATGCATGATAGCAACAATCAGTGTATATTCTCTGCATTTTTTCCCACTTGAAGGAATCCCACATCTTAGATTATCAACATTGCAGCACTCTTGCTTCTTCTATGGCATTTCCTCACTGAAGGTGTACCTTATTTCACTACGACACTACCATAATTGTTACTATAGCTCAGATTCCCATTTTAAACAACTGAACTATTTCAGGACACTGTAAAATCTGTTTCCAGCTGAAATGCTGACATTCATTTCAATATACAGAAACGTAACAGCAGCACAAAGAAATATAGATTTACTGATGCCAGGGGCATTTCTGCGTACATACATGTTTCTGTCTTGCAAAGGATTTCCTTTACAAAGGCTAATGCTCTAGCTGTATTCAGTACTTCCAGAAGTTAAATTAAACTTGATATAGTGCTCTGAATATCTTCCAATGTATGCATACAATTTCTTTTTCAAAATATATTTTAAACACAGTAACATCAAGGTTCACAAATAGTCACAATAATGTCAGATTTATCTGATCATCAGATGCTGCAAACTATGTGTAAATAATGTATCATTAAAGAACTCACCAAATGTATGTTTACTCAATTAATAATTCGCATTTAAAAAACTGTTATGGACATTTTCTTTAGCAACAACTTCGTGCTAAAACAACACTGACATTATCAGCACCATCAGAAATACTAAAACTGGGGAAAAAAATAATTGTAGACTTAAAATCTGCCCTCCTTTCACTCTGTATTATTACAACATACAGACAAACGTGAGATTTCTGCTCTAAAGAGTTTACTGCACAACAGAGTTTTGCAATGGTTCTGACGATACCATGTAGCACAAAGTAAGTCTGAGGTTTGGGTTTATTAGATCCCTATTAAATTTCAAGTGTATAGCAGATTTATAGCACTTAGACACTGATTTCGAAGTACATGTAGCTGGACAAACAGTAAGTTCAGTGTCTTAAAGTGTTATCATTTACAGAACTCTTACCACACTTAACATTGGGTAGGCTTGAAGCTGGAGCCTGGCAGTACTTCAAACATAACAAAATGTAGCCTCTCTGCAGTCTCCCTGTTTGAAATTCCATTTATTTTTGATAGTTACCAGATAGAGCTGGTAACATATGCTGCATTTCATAAATTCCTAGCGCTTCAGCAGTTGTCCTTCAGGGCTGCTAATTGCTCATCAAAACAGCCAGTAAACTATTCCAGAATAGTTTCAAATTTTAGAGAGAAGCAGACATTGTGCAAATCCAGAATTAGACACTGAAGGATGTCACTTCTTCAAACAGTGTGAATGTGCACAGAGTCCTTTAAGTGAGTCGCACATAAAACAGAAATGGCACTAGCCACAGTCAGATGAACAGTTTATCGATCTTCCAAGATAGACAAATTCAGCACAATCTAGGTCAACATATTATGATTTTCAGAAATAAGAAATACAATCATGAAACCTGTGTTATGCAACTTTCTTTTTTCCTTTAAATTTCACCAAGAATATACTTACTAATAACCTTGTTTGCTAGAAAGCAAGCAAAGTAGGAAAAACAAGTAGGAAAATTACTTGTTACTTGATGCTAACATAAAATATTAGTTACTTGAGCAAATGTTTTCCTGATTCTCTTCCAAACCACAGGTCACTGAACTAGGGTTGGATCTTTAAGGACCTACGTAACTTTTTTCGCAAGATTATAGGGTTATGTTGGTACTCTATCTTTCTCATCCCACCTTGTGCAGGATTAATGAGCTGCTGCTTTCAAATCAAATGAAGCTATGTCCATAAAAATAGCACATGCATAATGTTAATACCAGAGCCTCCTACCATACAGGTTTTTTTGAAGTAGCAAAACTGAAAGTACAGTGTCTTATGCTGATGGGAATACAGAATCAAACAATTAGCCTGGCCTTTCCTACTGTATTTTGTGCCAGGAGCAGAAGACATTTGAGTGCAATATTGTAATGCATTTACGCAACTTTCATTCTCTTTACAAGAATGCCACAGACACACCCTCTTGCAGCTTCTTTTCAAAGTGTATGCAAATACACATACCAGAACTGAAGATAGAAATCAGTATCTCGGTGCTGCTGAGCTTTTGCCACACAGCTAAGTCTGCTTTAAGATGCAGTAGTCAGAAGCACAAAGTAGTTATTGTGAGAGTTTATTCTCACTCTGTGATACAAAAACCTCTTTATTATTCCTCCTTAGCCCAGCGACCAGCTACCACCCAGATGGATTCAAAGTATCTCAGTGACCCAGTTTTATGAAGCAGTACTTAGGCTTAAGAAGCAAAACAATACCCATACAACCACAGCTGTGCAGGATCCTGGAAAAGGCCTGGAAGGCTCTTTTAGATTAAAATCAGCCACTGAAATTCTCAGTGACACTTACCTGAGTGCTTCTATGACAACTTTACCAGAAGTCTTAATTAAAAACAGGACTCAACAACTACTGTAGCAACAAAAAAAGAGAGGAGAAATTGAAGTCCCCAATTGATGGAACTCTGCTTAATCGCTTATGCCTTCAGCAAGAAGTAACACACTTCCATGAACTGGGAAGCCTCCTATTGATTTAATCACTCCAAGTATCTGTGATGAATTAGCAGCAAGCACACTATGATAATATTTTATAGATACATAGGATTTTAGAAAGATGTAGCCATGTACACTCCATATCAACATGCAGTAAGTATTTGATGATTATGAGAGGAATTGTTCTGAATTGTGTCTTCTGATATTTTCAATCACTCCTTTGTTTTCACATGCTTTGGTAAAGATCAGTGACACCACTGCAGCAGGACAGATTAGTTGCATGAATATTGCCCAGGTTTTTTTGTTTGACTCCAGTTCCCCTTGAATACATGCTATTTCTTTCCTCAAATTCCTTAGTTATTCAAAATTATTTATCAAGGAAGATTTCACAAACGGATTTTGCCAAGATGACAGGTGAACTTTGAAAAGTCTATCCTTTTGCCAGATAAAAAGGCAATTAGAATGCTCTTACTTCAGTTTCAGCAAAATTCATAAGAAATGTTCGGATCTGCCCTTTAAAACTGGTCTTCCTTGAAATACTGAAATCACTTTTAAATGGATTTAGCTGCGCCACTTTAAGTTCCACACCAACACAACTGTAGACATTCACAAATACTAACACATAGAAAGCATTTTTGATATGCAACATGAAAGAAACTGTTCCTTTGGACCACCTGGCACTATGGTTATACCACCTACCATGTGTGCCTTTCTACTGCTTTTACAAAGTACAGACACAAAACACTAGTAACCAAAAAAGTATAATATTCTGGCCAAGTACTGCTCTGGCTTTACCTTACTGATTTCAAAGATTTTACAATGCAAACTGCCTGAAAAATTAGTAAGTGTAATTAGTCAATATTTGCACAACTTCGCGTGAGTTAACGCAAGCAAAGTTACTGTATTCACATGGTTTCAGAGAGTTCCTGACAGAATTACAGAAAGAAAATAAAACTGCCCTGATGATAATGCAATTCGTAATATGATAGATTTCAAATACCATGGTGGAATACAAGAGGAGCAGAAGAGAGGGGGGTGAGGAGGGGATAAAAAAAAAAACACACATTGGGATTAGAGATATCAGATATTTAAATTATATTAAGTGGCATCATTTCATTTAACCCACAGAGCTATGCTAATTCATATCAATTCATAGTACCATTTTGGTTTGCTGAATGTACAGTGACTGTTTGCTTAATGATCCACCCTCTGAACACAGCTCAGAGAGAACTGAGGGAATTTATCAAAGAATAACTCTACAGTTGCTCAGTATCTTACATGTATTCCTTACGTAATTGCCAGAGACAAGATGCTATGTTACGTAGGCCCCTTCGTCTGACCCCAATGGTGGTATTTTCAGCATAGGTTTTCACCAAAGATGTACCATTCACATGGTAAAGGTTCAGTGTTTCTTCTGTTGCTATTTTGTGTCTGCTTTAGAAAGGTGGAGACTGACAAGGTGACCTGCACAAGTTCAGGGCCCCCCTGTGCAGAGCACTCTGGAGAGCACAAAGCAGTAAAAGCTCACTTAGGCGGGAGCTGT